GAACGAAGGAGAGAGGTCGAAAGAAAAGGGCAGTTATGGAATGAATACAGATATTGGTTGTGCCGTGCTTCCATGTCCCCAGGAAGAAAAGGTGTCAGGTATCGAAGGATTCCAGGTTAGTAATTGCGTGAGACCCTTTAAATCCGCAACCCCTGCTACATTGTTTGCCCAAAAGGGAAAGGTGCCATGGCATGGCTGCTGAGCCGCTTGCCCACTGCCGGTTGTCGTTGTCTATTGGTTCTTACACCATTCCACGGTAAATATCCGCAGCAGCCATCAGGTCCCTTACAAAACCCTGTAAGTTCCCTTGTTGAGTATATGCGGTTGGCCCGGATCAATCCGAATATCGATGCCAACAACAACACGGAGATAAAAACATTCAGAAACATCGAGCTCCCATTTAGGAAGTTTTTTTTCTCAAACAGCTGCGCCTGGTTTTACGGCCGGACGTAGCTCTCTGTTTTCTGAAATCATGAACATGAACATGATAAAAAGGCAGCTGGAAAGCTTTCCCTCTCTCGAGATGGTCATATTATCGCCGTCAAATCACTCTCTTCAAGTCCATCCATCACATACAGACCGACCCGGCTGAGTGCTCATACCGCCAAAATGATTGGTTCCAAAGACCTCCCTCCCGCCCACGAGTCCTTCTCAACAGTCTTCATTCGCAACCAGTTCCGCACATCACTCCAGCTTCCCCCTAAATCCACCAACCTCTCCTCCCACGTAGCCATCGTGACGGGCGCCAACACGGGCCTCGGCTACGAAGCCGCCTCCCAGCTCCTCTCCTACGGTCTGGGCCATCTGATCCTCGCCGTCCGCTCTCTTTCCAAAGGCGAAGCAGCCGCAGCGAAACTCCGCGCCCAGCACTCGTCCCCTCAAAAAGGGAAGATCGAAGTCTGGCAGCTCGACATGTCCTCGTACCCATCCATCCAGCAGTTTGCCTCGCGGGTCAACACCGACCTCGCCCGGCTCGACATCGCGATCCTCAACGCCGGCGTCATGAACACCAAGTACCATGTCAACCCGTCGACAAACCACGAGGAGACGATGCAGGTAAACTACCTGTCCACCGTGCTACTATGCATCCTCCTCCTGCCGGCCCTCAAAACGAAATCGCCACCCGGAGCGCCGGGACGACTGACCATCGTCAGCGCGACGCTTTCCCTGACGCCCAAATTCGCCAACCGGGCCGCCCGCCCTCTGCTCAAATCGTTCGATGAAGCCGCAAAAGAAAAGTGGAAAGGAGTGGAGCAGTACTGCTGCTCGAAGCTGCTGGCGCACATGTTCCTCTGGAAGCTGGTCGAGTACGTGAAAGCCGACGACGTGATCGTCAACCTGGCGGATCCGGCCTGGGTGCGCGGGACCAATCTCGCCGCGCAGGACATACCCGCCGTCGGCAGGGCGGCGTTCGCGCTGTTCTATCCGCTTCTGATGATGGTTGCGCGCAGTCCTAGGATGGGCGCGTCGACGTTTCTTGACGCGGTCATCACGAAGGGAAAAGAGTCCCACGGGGCCTTCCTGACGAGCTATAAGATCTATCCGTGAGTTTTCTTTTTCAAGTTTCCACCTCTGAAGTAAATGTTAGGTGCTTCGATGCTGACAGAGAACTGATATTTTCTAGGTTTAACGACATGCTTTATACGCCAGAGGGAGTGGATGTCATTGAGACGCTGTGGAAAGAGACGCTGGATGACGAGCTTGCGTTTGCTGATGTTAGGGGTATTCTTGAGCGTCTGTCGAAGTGAGCGGAGCTTGAAGCACGTCACGTTTGAGAGTATTTGACGAAAATGCGAGGTCTGGGGAAGTTGTAGTTAATTAGAAGGAGGTAGTCTCGAGGGACTGTAGGAAACGTCTTACCAAATTGTAGGTATTCCTTTGCCGGGATCTAGAAACCTTAGTACAAGTACTCTCCAAAGCTCTATTTAAACAGAAAAAGAAAAAAAAAGACGTGCTATTATACCAAACATGTTACGGTAAACCGTGGTCAGGCCAGACCTTGCCTTGGCAGGGTTGGCAGGGTCTAGCCTGACCAGGGGGTGTGGCCGGACCTGGCCATAACATATAACCAGGTCTGGCGCGCAGACAATCTCCTTGTTAAAAAACCATCTATCTACACACCTTTCAGACCTGCCATAGTAGTAGGCTTGTGGGACCGTAGGGATCACCACGATCCCGTTTATTGTGACGGTCGGTCGGTTGGTGGTATAGTCCCGCGACTGTCAACGGTACATAATCCACTGGAATCTAGGAAGCTGGCACCTTCTAGATTCTAGCACTCTTTTGGAGAAGATTGGCTCAATTGGTTGTGGGTCAATTGACCAATCGTCACAATCTAGAAGGTGCCAGCTTCCTAGATTCCAGTGGATTATGTACCGTTGACGGTCGCGGGACTATACTACTCAACCGACTGACCGTCACATTCATGATCACAGTTGCACCGTGTTTGCTGTGAAAAAACACAGACCTAATATTTACTGTACAGGAAAACCGTGCCCTTACGGGTCGGGTGAAAAACCGGTACCAACGAGTGAGAAAACACATCAGTGACTGAGCCTGTAAATACAAAAGAAGAAGACCTCCTGGCCTTCGATGGAGGGGGTTTCAATCTGCCGACTCCAGTTCTAGCTTCCATGCTAGATTGTACATTGGTAATCTTCCCGCATCCATCAGCCAACTCAGGATCCCTCTCGTTAGCCGTGCAGCTGGGGGATCCAATGCCCTGCAAGACAGAGTAAAAATCCCGTCGAGTCCGAATATCTGCTCTGTCCCATCTTCGAGTCAATGGTGGAGCCAAACACCATATGACCAGGTGTTCGACAGTTTCACGGCCTTCACCGCACTCGCAAAAAGTCGGTGGTTCCCCCTGTCCAGGCTGCAATTTTTATAGCGGATTCTTGTTGAAGTGGATTATGTCTTCCAGGCCGCTTCCAGCTGTCTAACGTTTGCCTCTGGCTCTCGGCCAAAGACAAGGAGATTGGTATCGTCTGCGAATCCCACTATTGACAGATGGGGATGTTCTTCTTTTAACTGCTTGTAGAGAGAAGCAATGTAGAGAATAAAGAGAACTGGAGATAGTGGGGAGCCCTGAGGGACTCCTGCTCGTACTGCTGTTGGGGTAGCTGTTTGGCCGTCGAGTTGGCTTCTGCGGCCTGTGTGATCTTGTTGGCCACCACTGACTCTATCACCTTCGCTAGGGTTGGTAGTAAAGCAATAGGTCTATAGCCTCCTGGTGTCTGGTATACTGCAGGTGCTTTCCCCATCTTTGGTAGTACCACGGTCTTTGCTCTCTTGAAGCGGTCTGGGAAACCACCCTAGCTGCAAGTATCTTGTAGCTAAAATAGCTACCGCGATAGCTAGCGGTTTCCCGCATGCCTTCAGGAGGCCTGTAGGAAGCAAGACTTCGCCTGGTGCTTTCCAGGGACTGGCCTTACTTATTGCTTCTGCCACTTCGTCTGGCGTTACTCTTTGGGCCATCTCAAATCCTGGCTCCCACTCGTTCAGGAAAGGTCTGGTCTTGAATGTCGGTTAGGTTAGCTGGCTGGTTTGGAAAGAAATTTTTGGCTAGAGCCTCTGCCTTCTCGCTGTATTCTGCGGTTACCGTCTGTCTCGAAGAATCCTTGAACGCTGGCAACCTCGGAGGTTCCGGTGGCTGGAAACTCTTCAGCCTAGCCCATCTTTCAAGGCTCCACATCTTGTCTGGCTTTTTCGCCTCGCTCGCTTCCTGGACCGCACTCCTCCAGGCTCTCGTTTTGGCTTCTTCCCGGTTGTATTCGGTACGGACCTCTGTGGCCAGTCTCTCGGTTCTCCTTGCCTCTCGGTTAGCTTCTTCCACCTCCCGAGTCCACTAGGGAGAACTGTAGCCGCGATTCTCCTTCCGTAGAAGGGTACTTTCCTCCGCGACCCAGGCCAGCCAGTCGACTAAATCGTCAAAGGCCTTGCTAAGGCACTTTATAGTCTTAATCCTAACTGTTAGGCGGTTTGGCCCTGGATCTGTTAGACCGATGGTCTTGTAGAGCAGCTCTGACTCTGCCTCTACTCTCTTCTTGTTCATCTTCTTCCAGGACCAGCCGGACTACTAGTAATATACCAGCTTTGCTATTAAAGCATTAGTATTTCCATCAGAAGCGTCACCGTAAGATAAATACATAGTAGTATGTAGTGGATACAATAGTTATTCTTTGTGTAGATGGGGCCTTGTAAAGTAATTCGCACAAAGGTTTTAAACCCTGGTAAAGGTGTATAGTGTTACAGCCTGGTAAGACGTTTTATACATGCGCCCGTTAGACCACTTCATTAGAAAATAATAAGCTGGTTTGGATATCTTGATGCCGATGGCCAAAATGCCAGCGATCCTCGCCCACACAACCTTTGTTCCGTTTAATCTTATATATATTTACATTTGTAAGGCTAGTTGGACAGAATTATACAGCCAAAAGATATAGACGGGGTGGTACCACACACCGCACGCAACCCGCCATCTGCAATAACTTCGTGTTACGATCCCCGATTGGAGGATTAGGCGACGAGGTTCCTGAGCCTATCATAGGGGTGCTCTGCGGAGCACAGGATCTTGGCACAGAGCAGGGCTCTGCGTGCTCTGTGGCGCCATGACAGAGGGAACAGAGCAGTCGTGCTCTGTGTGCTCTGCTGCTCTGTCGCGGAAGCAACAGAGCAACAGAATAGCACTTTCATTGGCTGTAGTGTTTCTATATAGTCGAGAGAGCCTGGGACTCTCTGGGGATTTGTTACGGCAGTAATCAATACAAGTACTTTGGCAATAGTTGTTGTGTCAACTGCGCAATCTTGTGTGTTCATTGGAACCAATACTCTTTGTGATTACCCCCTACCTAAGACCTAAACCCTTTTGTGGCTCGACGGAGCAACATACAGTCTTGTGGTCCTTGTGTTGTCAGGGACACCCTATACACAGGTTGTTACACTTCGACCGACTGTCCTTGTAAAGATGCCCAAATCCAGCCAACAAGAAAAAAAGTAACCGCCCACAGCGAGACTCGAACTCGCAATATTCAGATTACTTTATTTAAAAGTCTGACGCGTTAACCATTTCGCCATGTGGGCTTCTTGGGATTTCAATTACTTTTATACACTTGTAAATCTGACACCTTCTAACAGATCAAGTGTCCGCGGCGAAGTACACGATTTAACAGTATAAAGAAGATTGAACCAAGATTGCATCATCTTTTCAGAGTACAATTAAGCTAACGAGTAAGGATATGAGGGCTCGGTATTTCCCTTGCCGCTAACAAAATGAGCACCATCGTTCAGCAAATAATACATGTCATTACATTGAGTATCGTTCTCAGATCATAACTAGTAATTAACTGTCGCACAGACCGGGGTCTTGGCATCTTGGCATGGCCTATGCTCCTTTGAGCTTAGGTAGCTTACATACGTAGATCACACACACAGAGCTTTCTTTTGTATAAGTGGTCACTCTTTTGGTAGAGCATTTCCTTCATAGTTTAGCTACATAGTATACTTATTCTTCATGCTCCATTATGCTCCAGTTTCTTGCTCCCACAAACGTGTCACACTAACAGAAACAGGTCATTGACTCATTTAAAATGGCCGCGCCGTACTATTCCGAGTAGGCGAAGAAGGCGACACAAGCTGCTCCGAACCGTCCTCCCTGGCCCCGGGATTGGATATCTCGCTGCCCACGGCCGACACAAGCGGCGAAGGTGGCGAGTCACTCCCGGCCGGGCCGCCGCCATAATACTGCTGTACGCTCCCCCGTGGTCCCCCAAAAGAGGGCAGCTCGCCGACCGTCGAGATATTCCGGTCCGGCATCGGCCTATTCCCCGGGCCGGCAACCGCTGTCCCGGGCAGCTCGTACACGCCGTCGTTTTTGGCGTGCGGCCGTATTTCCGTTCCGTCGAGCTCCGTGCTCGGCTTGATGGCCGTGTCGTGGCCATCCACCTCTGCTGGCGCCGACGCCGACCTTTCGCCAGTGGTATTCTCGCTGATTCCTGCACCAATCGGCATCCCTGGGGAAGGGTTGGAACTCGGACCCCTCGAGTGACTCGGATGCGACGAATCGATCGTGGAGCTGGGCACTGCGAACAGATCGGCCCCGGACATGGGCGTGGACCCTTCCGCCGTAGAGGAGCGCTGCATCGAGTTGAATACGGGGCCGTTGAGCATGGAGACGTCGGGCTCGTCGCTGCGATGTTTTGGTGCGGCGATGGCGAAGCCTCGCTTCATCCACTTTCTGCGCTTACGGAGGAAGATGAAGGCAATGACCAGACCCAAGAGGATGGCGCCTACGACGGCGCCGACAACGATTCCGGCGATTGTGCCGCCGCTTAGGCTTGATGATTTGTGTGAAGGGTCTGCTGGACTACTTCCTCCATCTGCGGGCGAGTCTGTGGATGTGATGGCCACGATGTTTTGTTTCGCACCTTCGTTCCAGACGCATGCCGAGACGTTGAATACCTTGCGCTCGTAGTCGGCGGAGAGATAACTGGAATAAAGCGGGCGGTTAGTGGGGCCAATCCAGACGTATGATGGTCGGTGGAGATACGGTACATACGCTTCTTGCAAGAATGTCCTCCCAAGTGTGTACTGCGTCGAGTTGGCCGCGCGTTTCAGGGGGAAATAGCGCGACTTGGTTTTGACAAAAGGAGGCAGTGCCTCAAGGTCAAATGCTCGATACGGGAGAACAATGGCTACCTCTTCTCCTCCCGACTTGATGTCGGAGAGCCGGAATGTCACCTCCGCGTTCGAGTCTTTCAGCGCTTGGTGGTGCGTCTCGTTGACCAGATACAAGCCAGTCTCGCTGTCGAGAGTCAGGCCAAACGCCTGCTCAAAGGCGTCACACGCATCGCTTGGGAGCCAGAGATTCGGATCTGTGGAGTCGATGAAGATATCGATGGGCTCGGATAGCAGGACCGCGGAGGTAGACCCGCTGTAGCTTATGGACTGAAGAGCGACGACCAGATCGCGGGTGATGTCGTCTGCCATTGTGAACGAGACGGAATTTTCTCTGAATCGAGAGGTGTCGTACCCCGAAAAGATGAGCTGGCCGTAGGCTCCTTTCAGTTGGTAATTCGCGCCGGCGGTGTAACTCCAGCTCAAACTCGGGATCTTTTTTTGGTCCTTGAGCGTCGTGAGGAATGAGGATTGCGAGAGGTTGCCCAAGATGGTAAAGTTCACGGGCTGGTTGTTGAGCCCAAAGATTCCCATGTAGAACGGGCTGGCTGTGGCGATGCCGGCGACGGTCTGGTTTTCCAGGCTTGGCCCGTTGGTGAGACCGATCTGAACCTTCTCCAACCCCCATTGCGCTTTCTGTCTGTATCCCAGGTTCGCCTCCAGACCGACTCCGTTATCGACGTCGTTGATAAAAAACTGGCCCATGTCAATCCAGCTAGACGACGTGTTGGGGTTGAACAAATTGCCCCTCGCTTTCGCGCAGTTGTTCGGCACTGCATCCCCGAATACAGCGGTGGAACAGGCGTACTCGCTCAAGGGGATTATTGACTCCGGGGATGCCGTCGAGACTAGGACTCGGAGATACTGATTTGGCGTGCCGAGTACGAGGTCGAAGGTGCTCCATGGTCCGTCGATGCCTTCACTGGATAGTAGAAATAGTCATTAGATACCAGGACCACAGCCCAAAGTAGAAATTGTCGACTTACAACCATTGACTTGGAAGGATCTCGAGAGGCTTTGGCGCATCGTCATCCGCCGCCCAGGACTTTGCGATGAGAACCCCCAACACCAACCATATCATGGCAACAGAAGGCATTTTGAACAAGATTCTCTACAGACATTGAAGTGCTAGTTACAATAAAACGATGGTGAACATTTGCTCGGAGGTGAAATCAACTATCGTGAACAAACTTCGCTGTACAAAAACGTGGCCCACTGCGATCGGTGCGGCGCGCCCGTTATTATGAACGGCTTCATTACGAGATAAAAGTCTGGTTCTGAGAGCATCAGTGGCAATTGATGTGCTTGTTGCCCGTCAAGTTGATTGCCGAATTCTGCAGCCAAATGGATTGGCAGGTCATGACGTCTGCAGGCCGACGGGGCCTATCACGACCCCTGTCGCCGCCGGAGCTAGAGCTCCAAGCAGCAACTGGTTCCTGCAGCCCATGTTTACAGCGACAACACACTGGACAGACGTCACCCCGCAGTGCTACCCCTGGTCCCATCACCTCCCAACGACCAATTAGGTCGGTGGGGCAGACGTGCATTTCCAAGGTCGGGCCAGCATCCGCCTGCAATAACTGCATCGTAGCCAAGCTCAAGTACAAAACGGGGTTGGTCTTGTCCCGTCCCGGACAACAGAGGAGTGGCGACCTGGGCTAGGCCTGCAAGCCAAGATATGACAGCATGAGAACCGGGAATCCAAGAATCCGGACCCTGCCTGCTGCCATCCTATCCGTTGTGCGTTGCTCTGAGAGATGGATGACCTGTCACTCACTTTGACAGCCAGTTCACCGCATCCCATATAGAAATGCAGGTGCTCTGTCTTACTCTGACCTTTCAGGTTTCTTAGCTTCCCGCATGCCTTCGCTTATTGCTTATCCGTAATAATAATCAAGCTCAAATCTTCGGATTACACTCGTTGCTCTACACTCGTTCAGAGCCGTTGTTGTTGATATTAAGAGCCACAGTCATGTTGTCGTCGTCGAGCAGCACCTGGGCTCGGCTCGGGCTGCTTCTGCTGGGTGTCAAAGGGGTGCTCGGGACACAGCATGAGTATCACGTCGACACAACTATCTACGACATAAAGACCATTGTCGACACGAAATATGTTACCGACGTACAGACCGTCAACTCGACGACAACTCTCCCGGTAACCAAGTATGTGGACGTCAGCTTGACGAACTACGTCAAGGTCACCGTCTACGAAACATGTACCTTCACAGAAAACACAACAACGACCCTTCGCTTCGTCGAGTCGGTCACAAACACGGAAACAGACTCGACGACCATCACAAACACCGCGAACACTACCATCACCGGCACCGCCTACACGACGCTGACGGACACGGACTCGACCACTATCACTGATACCGCCTTGACGACCGTCACAAACACAGAGACCGACACGGCGACAGTCACCAACACGGAGACGGAGACCACCACAACCACAACATCTACCACCTCGACGACGTCGACGACTACTACGACGTCAACGACCAGCACCACATCCACTACTACTACGACCTCAACCACCACCACGACATCAACAACCACGACAAGGACCCTCTTCTCCACCACCTATGAGCCATGCCCAAAGTCTTGCAGCATGTATGTTTTTCCCCTCTCATTTCACACTTCCCCACCAAGCATCCTGCTGACATTGATTCCTCGAATAGCTCCGCTGAGACCGTCAACCTGTACTACTGGCCCACCAACCGTCCCTACTCGTACCCGACAACATGGGTCGACACCAAGATCGACTACACCTTGTAAGTATCCCGCCCCTTGCTTTCCTCGCTCAGTTCCCACTAACACGTGCGAAAAAAGCACCTCCCCGTCAGTGTACATGTTCATCCCCACCGCAAAGGGGACAAACTCCCTCCACCAGCCCGCGGGCCCGCAGACAACCAACTGGATGCTCGAGCTGGATCTCTACGAGGTCTCCACCATCGCCGGCGGCAACATCACCCGCCAGCTGACCCTCGCCGACCTGGGGACCGACTGCCCAAAGACCGCCGACCCATCGGCAATCGCGACAATGGTCGACCCAGCATGCGACCCTATCCTTGCAGCGCCCAAGCAGGTCAGCAGCTGGGCCTACCCCTGCAACGCGTGCGGTCGTTTCGGCTTGTTCGATCCGCCGTACGCCGTGCCCCCCGTCACGACGGGCGGCTTGATCGAGCCGACCTCCACCGTGGTGGTGACCATCACGGCCACGCCCATCGCTTCCCCGACACCCGTCGCGCCGGCGCCCACGTCGACTACTCCCGCTTCTGTTCCTGCGCCGACTTCTTCCTCCGAGACAGTGATTGCTCCACCGCTGCCAAGCTCAACGATCGTGTCTCTCGATCCTGCCAGCTCGACGGTCGTGAGTGTCTCTGCGCCGCCTGCGTCTCCGTCAACTT